AGATGTATATTTAAAAATAAAATTTAACCTCCAGTAATCCTCTCTCCTCCAAATATTACAGCACTACACTTCTTCAAGCCTTTGGTATTCACTGCTCATATGAGAACCACCTGACCGCCCATAGCTATGAAAAGGATGTCAAATATATTTTTCAATATGATACACTTTTCTTGTTTGGTAATTATTGGGAAAGCAATTTTATTGAAGTATAAGCAAATATTTCACTAAAGCAAAAATGCTTATTAAACTTAATGCCAATATTAACAAATCTTTGGAGATGTAAGAAATAGCCATCTGAATATTCGTGTTTAAAAGCATTCAATATAGTATAGAACTTTTCATAATTTATATAATTTGGCTCAGAGGAAAAATTATTGGCATATAATCCATTGCTCATTATCTGGAGCTTTTGTAATATTAATGTGCAAAAATCTAAATGTTTATTTGTGAAACTTATGGATATGTGTACATGTGAACTAGCCTCACGATTACATTGCATTCATTTTCTCTGAGCTACTAACAGTTTTTGGTAACTGATGACACTTAGCAATGATACGCCAATGACATTCAAGGACCTAAAGGGCCTATATGCAGAATATAATGCCTAATACATCATTTGTGGAATAATCTTTTAGTCATTTTTCCTTCTTGCATTAATTGCATTTCTCTATATTTAAAACATTTTTTAAGGCTGGGCATGGCGGCTCATGCCTGTAATCCCAACATTTTGGGAGGCTGAGGTAGGAGCATTGCTTGAGGTCAGGAGTTTGAGACCAGCCTAGACAACATAGCGAGATACTGTCTCTACAAAAAAAAAAACTCCACTAGCTGGGCATGGTGGTGCACACCTGTAGTCCCAGCTACTCAGGAGGCTGAGGCAGGAGGATCACTTGAAGCCCAAGAGTTCAAGGCTGCAGTGAGCTATGATTGTCCCACTACACTCCAGCCTGGGCAACAGAGCAAGATCCTGTATCTAAAAAAAAAAAAAGAAAATGACAATAATTCATCCAACAAATGATAATTCAGTACTTCTCATTCTATAATAAAATTTCTTAATGTTGAGCCACTTGCTCTCTGCTTATCATTTTTGTAATTCTGAGCTTACTCTTAATATCCTTTCATTACACAAAGTAATGTATTTTTTTAAAATACCTTATAAATTAGATTTTGTTTATATATGGTATAGATAAAATTTTTGAAAATGGGTCATATTTTATGTCCAAGTTCAAGGTAGTAAATAGGCCAAGAAATATTCAAGTTATATCACATTAGGCTAAACCATAAACTAGGGAAACTCAGGGCTGGTGAATTCTTGCCATTCTTACATTTGATAATGACCTATTTAGAGATGCGTGAAAACATTTTTCTTTTTTGTTTAAGGGTTTGTCTGTTGAATTAAAACTCCTTCAAGGCAGAACAGTAACTCTCATATCCTACAAAACAAACCACCATCGTAACAATGAGTGCAGCACCTCGTTATGGTTATGAACCCGTGGAT